TTTTACCATTTCAGAGAAGGGAAGAACAAAGGATGGAAATTTATAGTATAGTCATTTTGTTTATAAAACTAGACATCTTAAATTGCTAGTATATTTCACTATTAAAAACACCATAAAAATAATCATTATCAATCAAATGAGAATCGAGAAAAGGACTTTTAAAATTGCATTTGAAGTACTTTGTGCATCTGGAGAGAAAGCTACATAACATACACCAACTTCTTTTAGTAAGTTTTAAACTTCGGCTATCACCTGGATCTTCTTCTATAAAACTGTTGTACAATGGCTATTAAATTTGTTCTTTGTACAAGGTCCATCCTCTCCTACAATTTACTTATTCAAAATTAGGTTCTGAATCTTTGCTTTTACAAAAGGCTAAAAGCAACTTCTCTCATTGGGATAAGTAGAATCAAGTTTATAATATTCTTGTTGATTTTTAAACCACATGCAAAAAAAAAAAAAAAGATAACAGCAACTTGGAACATTTAATAGTCAAGTTATATTCCAAGATAATTTTATCCATATTCAAATAATCATTCAAAAAGAAAGAAAAAAAAAACACTGATTCATATATACACACCAGTTATTATTTATACTTTCCCAATACATACCCAATAACAATAATTATTATCATTTTTATTATCATTATAATCATAATAATCTCTATTTTATCCTAAAAACCATGCAGAGAGAGAGAGAGAGACTTGTTCTAAATATTTTCCTTATTCATTTTATATACTGAATAAACAAAATGACACTTAATATCTTACAATATCCACATACATTGTTCCCTGTCATGGTTAATGTTCAAAATCACAGCCACTGTGCTGAATTTAGACACATTTAACATATGAAAGCACTATTAGATTTTTTTTATAAGTTTAAGGCAATTCTGGAGATATCATAACCAACCAGTTTCACCAATTTTCTTAGCTTTCACTCAGTGCTTTGATAGAAATCCAACTCAATAATAAAATTTCTCATTATGATTAATTTACATTGTTCCAGGACTGCAACATGATTTGTGCGCTAAATAAAGGATATGGGGTACACAGAGGATTTTGTGTATTTCATGATAAACAGAGGACTCTGAAATGCAGCTACAGCAAGAAAAAATAATAATTCAGGCTGTTTCATATCATCTACTTGGATTCCTCTTCTGATGATACAAAGTATCCTTTTCCTTTTTTTTTTTCTTTTTTTTCTTTTTTGTATCATTCAAAGTGAAATCCAAATGGATATGAAACACCACTATCAAAAATCTAACCAAAAATAGGTGAAGACTGTAAAAATTACCGAAAATATACGAAGACTGTAATAATGCAAAACACAACCATACTTTATTTTACCATTAGAATGTCACTTTGTGCAAAAACATATATCTCCAGTTATAGTACTGCAGAGTTGGAGGACTTCATAGTGCATTGTTAAATTGTGCTTATAATACTGGAAAACAATCAACAACAACAGAAGCTTAAGTAACATGTTGCAAAGTTATAAGTACAGAATAAGTATTTGTTCTTTGCTTTACAATCATAAATTAAAATTTCTTTATATATCTAAAAGTAATAAGGAGACTTCATAACTCGGTATTTACAATCCTTCCTAGACAATCTTGGCGCTATTGAATTATCTCCTATTACGCAACAACTGAGGCTTACGAGAAGTTGTTGACGTGTGGGTACTATCCCTTGATTTTATTGAATTAACCAAATAAATATCTACACTTTAATACAACAATAAGTCTACAACTTTCATGATGCTTCATTTTAGACACTTCATTTGCAGACAAAAATTCTTGAAAATTACTATTCATAGTTGCTATTGCACAGGCATTTTCTATGCTAATAATTTCCATAGAAAATTACCATGACACTCCTAATATCTCAAAACAAACAGACAGCCATCAATGAAATAATTTTATTACACCAGTATACCCATTCTATGCATTTCCTAGGAACATGACAGAAGATATATAAATCATCTTTTCAAAAAACCCACAGTCACATTTTCCTTGACATCCTAATCCTAGCGCATTCACGCAAGTGTTTATAGAGGGGCCAATACCCTAAACCCAGTCCTTAGGATTCTTCAAGACTTCGGTGAGTTTGGCTTCTCTGGAGTCGGGCTCTGGGCTGTGCATGTATTCCCATCTCTGTAAATCAAATAAAATGCTGGAGCAAAATTCATATTGATAATTATTGGGGGGAGGGGGATGCTGTCAATTTACGTGGAATGCGATGTGTGATTCCCGAGATCTGACTGCATTTTGCAATTTGAAGCTATGTGATCATCATGTTATTCCGAAGCACGTCTGAGTTAATAGAATGTCTTCCAATTTATCCATTAAAGAAAATACCATAATCAGAAGTATAATCATGAAATTGGAAACAATTTTTTTTTAATTTTATATCTAAATAAACCGCTCCATACAAAAATCTATATATTCCACACTAATTCTAATTTCATTTATAGACATATTTACATACATATATTCACCATTCATAATATTCAGACACTTAGCAAATCTACTTGTTATTTAACAAAAACATACATAATATAAACAACAATCATATACTCTTTATAAAACTGTTTATCTTTACATGACTCTATAAACACACAAACTACATACAACACATTCACATCCACATTCACATCCACAACACATATACATAACACCCATAAACACAACTTATCTACAACAAATACCCATTCAGCAACAAACTTTTTATGGATTCATTTTTCATCTTTTATTCTTGTTATATTTCTTAAATTTATTGGCTACAGACCTTCAGCATAAAGCAACGGTTTACACTACAAGATCCCATTTTCATTGGCTCTACAGATGCAGCCCTACAGCAATGCAAGACCGCCTATTGCCCACCCCCTAAAACCACTCTACACAAATGCCAAAGTCACTCACAGCATGTAAGGGGAGAGACATCAGGATGCTCTCGATCCGGGCATTGGGCGTTGCAAATCCAAACTTGGTCCCACGGTCATATACGAGATTGAATTCCACGTATCTGCCTCGACGGAGCAGCTGCCAGCGTCTCTCCGCCTCAGACACAGGGTCTTGTCTGTGCTTCTTCACTGCAGTGCAAGAGAAAAAATCAATAAGAAAAAGTCAATCAAAGAATATAAAAACTATTGTTCACATAAAATCACCTTTATCAAGAAGTAACCACAAACAATTCACTCGTATTACTTTCCCCAAGATTAATTAAAACAGAATCTACATGACCCTCGCTGGCTCCTCTCATCTACAGTTACTTACCGAGTGGGAGATAAGATGGCACTACTGATTCGGCACAGTCTTGGACAAAGCTGAAGATGTCCTCTGGTTTCTCCGCTTCCAAGTCGTCAAAGAAGATACCTCCAACACCCCTTCGCTCTCCTGCAGGAAAAAAAGCAAATTAAACGGCAATCAAATACTTGCTAAAAAAATCCTTAAAGGCCTTTCAATTAAACATCACAACAGTTTGGGAACCTCATACATATCTTTATTTCCAAACATCGAATTTATTATTTTATCTTCATTTCAAAATCCACGACCTCCCCCGCCCCCCCAAAAAAGGCAATAAAATAAATAAATCATAATAATACTGACACTCTTCACAAGCTTGAACTACTCACCCCTGTACTTGATAAAGAAATAATCATCACACCATTTCTTGTACTTGGGATAATACTGAGGGTCATGGCGATCACAGGAGGACTTCAGGACGGAGTGGAAATGCCGCACATCGTCCTCCTCCAGGAAGTATGGGGTGAGGTCCGTGCCTCCACCAAACCACCACTGGGGAGGGATGAAGCTTGCATTAAAAGGTGTGAACTTTCCTGTTACATATACAGAGCCTATTTGCACTTTCATTTGGATAATACTGGGAAGAAACTATATACGGGCTGTTTTGTGAGGACTGAAAGTGCATGTCAAGATATATCTTGAGTTAACAATAATTATTAATGACTACAATTACAACTACTGCTACTACTATTAATAATTATTATTATTATTATAACAATAAAATACCACCACCACCAACAATAACAACGACCACAGTAATAAAGATAGCAAGTGACCTGATCATAACAATAAAAGTAGTAAGAGTATAAATAGTAAAACTAATTCCACCAATCTTAATCAATAGCCAAACCACATTATTCCAAGAAGCACATCTCAGAGCAAAATGAAGACACTCTTTCATGCGTTCACGAGACGCACCTTCCCTCGGAGATCAACAAATACTTAAGAAATCCTAGAACTCACATGCTTGTTATTGCCGTCTTCGTCTTGCATCTCAAAGTACCGGTAGTTGAAGTGGATGGTCGGGACATGGGGGCTGCGAGGGTGGATGACTGAGCTGATCCCCGCAGCGAAAAAGGTGAACTGCTTGTCTTCCGGCAACTCCTTCCCTCTGTAAGGATGGGACAGGAAGGTAGTTTCCTTAGACAATGCTTTCAGGTTATAATTAAAAACTTGGGGGGAATCCTACAGGTGAATATGTTCCCTTATTGGATTAAATTCTTGAGCCTCTGACCTTGCATTCTTAAACAAACGCAAACTGACTCAATGTGTGTAATGGAAGTGGTATACCACAGTATGGTATTGTAAAATTAAAGTAAAAGATTTAACCAGATTAAATTACTTGGATAATACAAATACATAGAAATATACTGCTATTTTCAGAGAAACGAATCTCCACATTCTAAAATCAAGAGTAGAGTAGATATTACAATTTCCTTTCACTTTTCAAGCCCAATATACTATTACAGTGAAAAATAGACAAATAAAATCAACACTAAGATTAAACAAAGAAAATCTATCCACTCACAAAAACAACCCTAAGCACAAAGGAACACTGACAATTAAAAAAAAAAAAAAAAATGTCCTCTTGCAGCACAGAATAACAGCTGTGCCCTACTGACCTCGCTCTCATGCTTGCCTGCAGTTGCTTGGAGAGAGGAGCCGACATCACTGTTATGTTGACTCCTGCTTTCTCAAAGGTCTCGCCGTCCTGCATGACACACGTTATTCCGCCTCCTTCACTGGGGTTGTGTCGGCGCCAGCGATCAACTGCAAACTTGGTCCCACTGCTCTCCTCTCCCTCAAGAGCTTTGCAGAACTCTGACTGAAAATTGCACATCAAAGAGGTTGCTTGGGTTTGAGCATGTGATGGCTATACTATGTACTATATACTATAGTAGAATTCCCTGGCTTATAAGTGGGGAATATTTCATACAGTTATACGTATGAGGAAATTATAACATCTAATGAAGTACTTTTCTTGCAATTCATTACAGCTAGCTGGGCAATGTAAGAATCCTGGCTACTATGCTAAATCCATTATTAAATATATATATATGAAACCTAAATCACAAAAACACAGATATGACTGTATTTGACCTTAAAACTACAATGATTTAATCCATTACAGCCGGGAAAAATTAATAAAAAATGGGGAAAATGCTGTGCTCATTTTTTATATTTTTAATGAAATGTCTCTACACAATGAAAATGTATTCTTTACTAGTGCTATGGATATGGATGGTGTTATTTTTATTATAAACATTATAATTATTATAATGTTATAAACAACAGTAGTAGCAAAATAAGATAATGTAAAATATTCTTGTATATTAAAGAAAATGGTAAACCGGTGGGAAGGAAGTACTCGTAACTGGCTCATTGGGGATTTAGTACAAGTGTAGCCATCTATGTGTTGAAACAATCAAACAAGTGGGCATGACACGGATACATAACGTACCCATCGCGAATATGTTAATATATATGAACCAGTATTTATTCCAGTATACAATTAAATTACTAATAAATTTGCCCCATCATTACATTACTTACCTATAACACTAAAAGAAAATAAATAACAAGTAGGTTAACAATTAAAATTAAATAAAACATAAAAATACTCAAATAAACATAGCATGCTCAAAAAGTGACAAATTTTACATGTTGTCCAGCGTCACATTCCCCCACCTCATGTCACTTCTCAACGCACCTGAATCCTCATGATGAGCAACTCCATTTTGACTTTCATGTCCTCCTTATTCTGCTCCAGGGTGCTCAGCTCCGTCACTGGGGCGGCCATGAACTGCGAGGTGTCAATGGACGAGACTTTCTGGGCGGCGGAGACATTTTGTGAGCAGGCAGAATAGAGCAGGACTCCGCCCGATGCACACAGGGTCGCCCCAAGATATCTATGATGGCGATTAAAAACAACATATAACAGTCATTCTATTGCTGTTAATAATGAGGGCTATAAAAATGTGAACACTTGCAATAATAAATTTTCCCATGAAGATGAAGATGAAGATGAAGATGAAGATGAAGATGAAGATGAAGATGAAGATGAAGACGAAGACGAAGACGATGATGAAGACGATGATGAAGACGATGACAAAGATGAAGATAGAGAAAAAGATTAAAATGAAGGCAAACAACGACATTGATGGTTGTGATGGCAATGACAATGATATAAGCAAAAAAACAGGACACCTTTCCCTACCCAGCAAACCTAGTTCCTCTCCGAGTCTTGACAGCGGCAATTGTGACAAGGGTCCGGGAAATGCCTCTTGCCATATGACTTGCCATGGTTTTGTGTGGCTGCTTTTACCTCCAGAAATTCTGAAAAAGACATTAATACTGCATCAGTAAACTTTTAAAAATATTTACCATTAATCTTCCAACTGTATGCCAAAACAATTCTGTCCGCTACCCACTGGCATCCATTTTTTTCTACTCCTGAACCTTCTTAAAATAATCTAAAGTCTTGTAACTTGACAATTCCAAATAATTACGATACTGACTCCAATTCCCCTTAAAACAAAATATACCATTAGAAAAAAACAATAATTTTTTGTTGAAGATTGCAATATCAAAAATCTTAAATATCAACTAATGAAAAAAATATTTAATTACTGAAATATCAACAAATCCTTTTAAGAATCATAAATCTATGTTTCTATATTCTATATCTATATTCCCATGACTGAAAACTGCTAAATGTTTCCAATTCGTGGCACTAATTACGATTAAACATCCCATAACTAATAAAAACGCAAAGTTCTGAACATTAACAAATACTTCTTCTCCATTAACCCATTGCCGCCGGGGAAAATGAACAAAAAATGGGGGAAATGCAGTACTCATTTTTTATATTTTTGTGAAATATCTCTGTCCATAGATGGCTCTGCTAGTCCTGATTTCACCTTTCCTTGAATTGGCGGGAAAAAACGTATTTTTACTAGTGCTATAAATATGGTGTTATTTTTAACAGAAAATTAGGATAACGTTAAATATATTCGAAAATTGATGAAAAGGGTGAATGGGCAAGACAGGCAGTACTCGTAATTGGCTCATTGGATACTTAGCACAAGTGTAGCCATCTATGTGTAAACACAATTGAACAAGTCGACTCACATTGGGCACGGCATGTACGTACATGCCATCCCCAGCGGCAATGGGTTAAAATCCTTAATGCA